CTTACACCTAATCTGAATCTACCCTCTTTCAGTTTAAAACCATCACCCCTTGTCCTATCACTACACGCCCTTGTAACAAATCCCTCTCCAGCTTTCTTGTCAGCCCCCTTTAGGTACTGGAAGGCTGCTGTAATGTCTCCCCAGAGCCTTCTCTTCTCCAGGCTGAACAACCCCAACTCTCTCAGCTTGTCTTTGTAGAAGAGGTGCTCCAGCCCTCTGATCATCTTCGTGGCCCTCCTCTGGACCCACTCAAGCAGGTCCGTGTCCTTCTAATGCTGGGGGCACCAGAGCTGAACGCAGTACTGCAGGTGGGGTCTCACCAGAGCGGAGTAGAGGGGGATGTATGTATGTACATACAAAAGATCTTTGGACCTCATAATTAAAAAAAAAAAAACAAAAAACAAAAAACCAAAAAACAAAACCAAAAAAACCCTCTATAGTGGCATATGTATAAGATAACCAAAGAAAGAATGGGGGGGGGGGTTGACTCTTTAAGCTGTTTGGATGCCTATTAATACCATATAAGTATATATCCATTTTAAATAAATAAATAAATTCCAGGACAGTATATGTTATAAAAGTACTCTGTTAAACGACTGGAATTTTTGCAAAGTTGCCTGTAGACGAACTCTGATGCCCTCCCACTGCCCACAGTCTATGCCTATTCCCAGTAACGCTCTTTCTCCTGGTTTTTATGCAAGCCAATACTAATGGAGTATCTTTGATTTTTTTTTTTTTTTGGAGTATTGATACTTTTTAGGGACAGGGGGTTGGTTATTGAGGGTAAATATTTGGTACTTTGCTACATTTTAATCCAGCTAACAAACACAGTGTCACTAATATTCACAGAAAAGTCAGTTTCTGAATAGAGAGAACAGCAATATGTAAATGCCTGAATAATGCTTTAGGCAGAGACTTTGAAAATATATATTATGCATATATTTTCTTGGCAGGCTGTAAAAGCTCACAATTCATGGATGTATTCACTGTACTGAAATACTAGATAAGTTGCTGTGATACCATATAATTCATCAGTCTGAAAGAAAAAGTATGTTACTGCTGTTTACTTAATTCCTTTGTTAATATAAGTTACAGAGATTCAAAGAGCTTGGCCTTGAAAGGGAGGTCATTAAGATCTCTAGTGTCACACCTTTATGAAAATTGTTCTTTCTCACATCCAGTAACTTATAAGATCAACAGGTACACTTGTATCAGAGAAATGAAGCTGACCCTTAAATTAAGAAAATTCTCTGTTTAGTATGTTAAAAATTTATTACTTTAATTACTGCTGTGAATTTCCTTTCTCTAGGATTTGTGCTCTGATGGCAATTTAAGTTCAGAATCTTCTAAAACAGAAAGACTATTGAGAATTTTTGCATTAGTTCCTGTGCATCCAGATTTTCAGTCTGCACAAAAGAGTGGCTGAGTCAGCCTTCAGTATTCTTTTATCAACCAATATTGGCTGATGGAGAGACTTCCTGATTCTAAATAGGTGCAAATCTGCTTTGAAGTTGAAAGTTGAACTAACACTTTGAAAATCTTTCTATACACAAATTAGGAACTGTCTATATACTTTCACTTTTCTATTCTTATCTCCAACTTCTTGCCTAAAGTTTCTCTTTAATAATTAATAGTAATAGTAATTTTTTTAAATTAGTTTAAAAGGACTTTCACGTGAATAAATCTTGTCTTCGAAGCATGCAACAGCTGCAATTAAAGGAATGCCAGATTAGTGTCTGTGAAACTACTGAAGAATCCTAGGCCAAGATACTTCCAAGTTAAGAATTACAAAAAAATACATTCGCACTAAGCTGTAGCTTGCCATGGAACTGAGTATTTTACCTTGATCACAGAGGACCTAGTCTGTATGAATGCACTCTAGGGACCATTCTTTATAGACTGAGAAATATCGGCTATGTAAAACGGTATCTAGCTTCCTTACATTTTTCTTTGATTTCTACTGCATAAACACCACTTTTCAGAGCGGGCAAGCTTGAAAAGGAAAGTTGACAGCAAAGTCTCTGCAGGACTGTCCTTCAAAATAATAATTCAGAATTCATACTTATTCAAAATTAAGACAATCATCCACCAGAAAATGCAATGTTAACATTAAAAACATAAATAGATACACCTATGGGTTTTGGATTAAACAGACTGTGGATATACCTATATATTCTATATGTAGTTACACAGCTAGTAGCCAAAATAAATTTCAGTCACTGAAGCACAGTATTCACGTGAAGAAAAATGTACATCTAAATTGCAGAAGTTGCTTAACATCCAAGTAAGCAAATTTGTAACTCTTTTGAAGAATAAAAGCAGGTTACAGGACCTCAGAGTATAACCTATAAGTTACAACAGATCTGAAGTTCAGCACTCAGCTTTGGGTGAGCCACATGTACAAATAACAAAGTATATGGCTGTGTAGATCTGTGAATGATTAAAAGAATGTGGGTCTGGCTGTGCTATTAGTATTCGGTCTAGCGGAAAGAAATGTTTCTAGACAAATATTTCACCAAAATCATTAGGTCACAAAACTGTTTGATTTTCAGTGTTGCAGTTACCATAAACATTTAATATTTTATTTCTACATAGCAGCAAAGAGAAATGTAGATCTTTTGCTCTTTCTAATTTACTTGCTGAATTTTCACATCTGTTAAGCATCTGATATTATTTGATCTAACTGCTGCTGAATTTGGTATTCTTGATGGAATTTGGTCAAGAAGCAAATCAACTACACAAGGCAAGGTTCACTTTACAGAACACAGATGCCTGCAGTCAGCAGCACTCACAGAAAAGCTCATCAAACTTGGTTTCAAAAGGTATTTAAAATGAACTGTATACCTCTCATATTCAGATAATACAGCCCAGGGTTTCTTGCAAGTCAATCCTATAAACAATACAGTAGGCATGACAAATTCCAGAATCATCCGGAATTCTGGCATCATTTTAATAGGCAACCTTGAATAACTATGTAAGAATAAAAATTCTCTTTCTGCAGGCAGGTGAATTAGTCCTAATAAAAGGCTTATATGTGCCAATTCTCCATTATTTCCAAAAAACATTTGTACTGCAAGCCCCACATGATCATGAAAAGCAATTTAATCAATAAGAAAACATAATCTTACATTATCTGTGGTATACACAGGCCCACATTAAAATCCCTCAAGCTGTATCTTCCTTTCTTTTACAGGAAAGGCAAAGAAAGGAGGGGGGGAAGGGAACAGGGGTTTTGAACAAAAGAAAAAAAAAAAACAACCCACAAACAAAAAAGAAGACTGAATCTGTTAAAAATGAAGTTAAATATGAGGTCCTAGGTATCACCAAGATTCCAAAAGTCCCTGCAGAACACAAAGCCTCTACTGAAAATGATATTTGAAAGTTTTAAAAATCTTTCCTTTACCTGATTACTACTTAATTATTACAATATCTACCACTTTTATGAGTAGGTTTCCACACTGAAAATACTACTTAATGTTTTCTTGAAATCTGGCAGTTTGATTGGATTTTCACTTGGTTTTTGACTTTCATTGTCCAGCAGAAAACGTGATTACCACAGTGAACAATAAAGCTCATCTTATCTGTGTAACAACGTAGCTTCTTTTACATGAAAACAGATGAGCTTTTTACATTTCTCATACGTGTACTTAGGGGTAGCTCTGTTGCTTCACAGGGTATAGGCCTTGTTAAAAATATTGTAAGCATTCAACACAACTTCCAACACGATCCATGTATTTGTGTACCAGTCTCTGTCTTACAGCATGGGAGTCAACCGCTTACACAGTCAGATTAAATAACTCATTTTTGCCTATACCTTACAGGGGTTCCTAATGTCATTGTAGGAGAAACCATTTTTTTTACTTTATAAAGGTAGAACACAATCTAAAAGTAAATTATTAAACTGTAAAACATCTCACTTTCCCTTATATTTAATTAAATCAGTGGGACTTCTGTCAAGCTTTATATGGAGTCAGTATAACCTAAATGAAGAATAATACCTTATTTTTCAAATTTCATCTTAGGACTTCTCATTCCTATCCAACTAGTGTTTTCCTCCAAAGCAGCATTTACAACTTCTGATTTATACAACAAAATCATGTATCTCCCAACTCCAAATTCTGTCACTGTTCGTCTCCTCCACGCTCAGCCTTATCAGCAAATTATACTGTATCTTATGGTTATTCATAAATAGTATGAAATAATTTTACCGTGATATCAAACTACAAATACCGTACAGAAAGCCAACTTTGCAGTACTTAATCAATTGGGTTATATCTTGACTAAGCAAGGTTACCAAAATTTTCCATACTAAGAAGTACAATCCAGAAGATCTTTTATTTCAATTGCACAAAATATGTCAATAACAGAAATGTGAATTCAAGGATTTATATACTTAACTTTGGAAAACAGAAAAAATACAGAGACTAACCTCTGTGTTAAAATATTATAAAGCACTTAATATTACAAAACACGAGCATGATGGTATGAGCATATTGTAAGTGTTCCATCAGGTTCTAGAAATATTTGGGATCAAATGGTACTCTCCTTTGCAAAATAAGTTTTGGTAGAATTGGTGATAATTAAACTAATACATTAAAAATAATTTTATGTACAGGGAAACTAGATAAACCAAACTGATATAAACATGGTAAAAAATTACTTTGTTTATTTTACTATTTTGGTACAATTTTTGGTTTATGCATTACAATGGATGTACCACATGTACTTTTCAATCAACGAGGCAAAATAACAACATGCAATTTCTATTACTGCTTATCAGATTACAATATATCCACTTACAGGTAATAAGATTAGTTCATCCCTATTCTCATTTTGTAGGCCATTTTTCATTTAATCTTCTTATGTTTAAATAAAGGGGGGAATTTCACCTTCGTGCATAACAAAAACCAAACAATGTTATCTTATCAGAAGCAACACATCCAAGCATGTTACGTCCTATTTAGTTAATGTAACCAGAGAATAAAAAACAAGCATCTTACCTGAGACCAAAGATATGTGATTGTTCATAACTGAATAAGGAATGAATTTTAGCATCTGAATTCAAAATTATAAGCCTGTCAATGATATCCTGCCAAAGGAAGACAAATGTAAAAAAACTCATGTATGATTTTATATTTTATGCACATAATGATTTCATTGGAATGTTTACTATAAAATCAAACCTATTATTAAAACACACATTGAAATTATTTCTGTAAGAAGAGGTGCTTTCCACCATAAAAGTCAATAGCAAAAAGAAACCATACAGAAG